GGAGGTGGTTCAAGCACCTACATTGAATACCTTCAAGACACATTTGGATGCTTATCTTGCTGGGATCCTATGACCCCAGCTGACTTCCTGCCCTTTGGGCGGGGTGGCTGGACTTGATGATCTTCCGAGATCCCTTCCAGCCCTAATGTCTATGAAATCTATGAAACAGTAAAATTTCACCCAGAGTAGGGGAAAGATAGTACACCAGTCTAGTTAAAAATGGTACAATTTTTTTTTATAGTAACAAGGTTTAAAATTCTGCACAGTCCATGACAGGATAGCAGAAAGGGGATTATTTGAGGGAAAACAATGAAAACTGGAAGCTTCAGGCTCAGAATAGGAAGTGACAAGCAGATGATGAATCTAAGGACCCTCCACACATTCAAATGAAAGCTGGATAGAAACCAGCTATAAAGTTGTTACACATTTTCAAGCACTAACTATATAGCTGGTTGGCTCCTTTTTATAGCTGGATGGACATTTTTATGGTGTGATTATTTCTTTTGCACCTGTGACCAGTCTAAATTTATTGTGTGATTAACCATTTAATTGCATAATATATGTAACATGTTGCAGGGGCCTGATAAGACAAAAATACATGTTATTTGGCCACTGTGACTGTTTTGACTAACAGCTTATACACCAGTAGTCACTGAGAGGAGAAGTTGGCATAAAATATGTTATCACTGTCTCAAGGAAACTTCAGGGGAAAATTGTATGTACATAAAAATGTGAAAGGTGGTCACTGATTCTAAGCCCAGAAGTGTATGTATATGTATATATATATATAATCCTTAATGTGAACTGCAGGAAGTAAACTTCTGTCTGGTATTATCAACTTAATATGAAGACCTATCAAAAGGCTCCAGATTGCTAGTGCTACTGCTTCTAACTACAACCTGGGGGAGGGGGGGAGCAGGAAGGAATCAGGACCCCATTGTTCATGGTGCTGTACAAAAATGGAACAAAAAGATGGACTTGCCCCATAGAAAGATGACTGCCCTCTCTGAACCCTCTCTAATCAGGCTGTTGAAAATCAGCTCTCTAACAAACCTGCAATATCCATAATCTTTCAATTAAAAAAAAAATTGCCCCCAGTTTTTATGTGCAAACTGTTCCCATTTATCAAATAGTTTGACTTCCAAAGTGAGCCACCCTGAAAAAGCAGAACAGAAACATGTACGTGTCAATGCTACAACTGAATGGGTTCCCCTCACAGCTGAAACAGTGCAGTCTGCCAAGTTTCATGGTTTCAAAACTTTATTAAATTACAAATTTATCATTGTAACACTCCTAAATAAAACCTCTGAGAACTTGTTTCTGATAAATGTGGAAAAAATCTATATGTATTATTTTTAACATGCTTTTATTAGTAAAGTTGGTAAGGGAGAATTCTAAAGCTTTTTATTTGTTCAGAACCTCATAGAACGCAAGGTATCAAACTAAAAATCTTATCTGGGTAAGCAGTTTTGTGGGTATACATGTAGGGATGGGAGAAGCCTGAGTTCTAATCATTACCCTGACAGTGGCTCCCTTTGATTTTCAGTAAGACACTTGATTACAGCATTTTTAAAACATGATTTGTTTTGGGACAACACTGTCCTCCTTTTGCTTGCCTGGTACAAATAATCTACTGCTTCCCTTATTATAGCACTTTAGAACTAACATTAGCACTTTTTATCTTCAAAGTGCTTTGCAAACATTAATTAATGAATCCTCACAACATCACTCTAAGGTAGAAAAGAAAGTGAATAACTTCACCAGTAAAACCAGGTGGGGTAGGTAGCTTTAGCTGCATGATGCATAAAACTGACATTCCACTATATACACCCAACTCTTACTGACTTTAGTGACATTTGAACATGTGAAAGAAATCAGGACATAAGTGCCCTATAACAGAGGAAGCCTGTGCCAGAACAATATGTATATTGGAGACCAGAGACTATGGATCAAATCCACAGGTACCTCTAAAATGTACATAGTACAAATTAGAAGGTGAAATGCAAATCTGGCATAAAGTTTCCACTTTTCCTGCCCTCAGCCTGGTGACTCCTTCTGTATGTTTCCTATATGGCCTCATGCTATAACAGCCTGAGGTTTGTTCTATCTTCCACTTATGCTTACATCTAATAGATGCAAAGGGACAACATGTTAGCCCAAGTTCAGCATAAAACAGTGGCATTTGGACCAATTTCCCATTCAAAAAGTCATCCTCCCACCCGCCCCCACCTCCTTGTGCAAACAGCAAGGACTATGGGTGCTATATCATGCCCTAGGTTGTCTGTAGGTAGCTTCAGGTTGAGTCTTACATTGTAGTCATCCTCCCAGAACCACTTACTTAGCTTTTGTGATCAAAATCTATCAAGGAACTGAAGCCCAGTTGACCCAGTATAATCAAGGTCGACTGTGATCCACAAAAAGAACGAAGGCTAATGTTTTAGTATAGGAAATATACATATAACTATTCTTCATACTATTGCATGGAACCCATTCCTTGTAGAGCAAAAGAGCACAATATGACCTATGGACACAACTGTTAGCAACTCTTAAGCACACTTTGTGTGTCAGCTAATTATACAGTAATAACAATAATTACTATTGTCCCTTGTACTCAGACCATTTAATGATATGGGGAGATATACCATTTTTATTGCAGACCTGTTGGAGGATAAGCAGAAGTATTTCAACACAGCATGCAACATCTCTGAGAGATCTGGTTACATGACATTGTGTTAACATTAACACATGGAGTTAAACACCATAGTTCAAGGTTTGGGAGGAAATATGGACCACTGGATAGGCTGGGGAGTTAGGATGCAATTTTTTTTTGTTCTTCCATTTGTCTGCTGTGTGACCTTGGGATAACATTTCCCTCATCTATGCCCCAGTTTTCCCACTGTATAACAAGGATGGTGACATTTTGAGATGTATGGATGAAATGCCCTGCACAAACGAGCTAACTGTTACTGAAGTTTAAAATGGGTGATGAAGCACTGCAGACAAAAAGACACCATCAGATATAATGCTACAAGATGTCACTGTAATTAATTAAAAAAAAAAAGACATGGGTTCAACAGTCTTTAACATAAAATGGTTTTAACATTTTAGTTAAAACCCATAGTTTAGTTTAGCCCATATTCAGTGGGCTAAATTCTGCTTATCACTGACTTCATACACCATGCAGATTGTCTCCAATTATTCAAATAACTTTTGTAGGGACTGAACTCTTCAGATATTTGGCATAAACAAACCTCAGGTTCTAGCCAAATTTCAGTTTTGAAGGACAGGAAATTAACAACCACCACCTCTGCATAATTCAATCATAGTGGGGGTGAAATATAGAGGAAACTATCTTACTCTGAACTTCCTGTGTGTTCCTTAGGTTACAAGGCACTTAGATCCAGTGATAATCATTTTATAATAACACTGAAAAAACAGTAAGTACAACATTTGAATTATCTGTGATATATCTGAAATGCATTTAATTGAGATGTATTCATATATGATTATGCCATATTCAGAGCATGCACACCATTTTCTGTACATAATACTGTATTTTCTGCCTGTTTTTCATTATATTCAATAATATCTGAAGTTTTACTTGAAATATTCAAACTCTTCTTGAGCTGTATTTCAGACTGCAAGAAGATCTGTGATTACAAAATGGAACATACCTGCTGGAGCTCATATTATGAAATGAAGTCAAGTTCTTACTGGCTACTTTAAAAGTCACTTTTTTGTGAGTGTTGTGTCTTTGAAATTCAGTTTATTTGTGAGTAGAAGTTCTCTTTCATGAAGTGTTGATAGGCCTTTGCATGGACTATGATCTACAGAGAAGGTGCTAGGTTTTTCTCTTGATCAGTCATTTTTTTTTTCTTGTTCGGAGCTTGAATTTATTCAATTTATATATTTGGTTTTTTGGTTCTGTTTTATTAATTCTCTCCTTTTATATTCAAATATTCCCCTCTTGTTGGCCGGTGGATGTAGTGTTGTGCAGACTGTACAAATATTTAGGTGGCAGCATGGAAGAGCTCCTTATTTTCATAGGCTTTCTGATTTTAACACTGAACTTAGCAAATTTCTCTTTCGCTGTAAAATGGTCTTACATTTCTTTTAAGTTAAGTAAGTGGAGAAGTGAGTACTAGAATACTCAAATCATATGGTGTATCCATGGTTATACCTAAAAAACATAGGTAATTGGATGACCCAACCCACCTGGTATTCATAAAAGTGTGGGTAGGCTATTTGGCACCCTAAAGAGATTTTCTGCAAATAACTGACTAGGATTGCATCATGTTGCCTCATTGGCATTCAGTGCCATGACTCCAGCAAGCTAGAGAGAAAAAAATATGTAATATATAACAAGGAAAAGAGCTAAAAGTTGAGGGCTGAGAATTAACTGTGCTGTGGAATCTCTCTTCATAGATTTTTGAGGTAAAGAAGTTAAAGTTGCCTCTGTGAGATGCAGGAAGACTAAATGTTATTGGAGCTCAGTATGCTGGGCACAAGGGGTGTGCAAAGTGGGCAGTATTTGATTTGGATTTGGTCCGATTCAGGGGACAGTGATTCAATTTGCTGATTTGGATCACTGTCCTGATTCACTTCAGCTAAATCTGAAAATTTAATTCTGATTCAGAGAATCAGCAATTCGGCCATAGACACAGCTTTATGTGTTTTCTCTATGTACCTAGAGGTGCCAGGCCCAACTCGTGACTGCTGAGATGGTGGGATGGATGGAGCATCCCATGGAAGTGTACGCGTGTGTGTTGGGGGGTCCCCCACGCACTCCACGGCGGACCCAGAAATGGACCAGAATTCTTTCTGGTTCACTGCCAAGCTCACAGAGAACCCTCCTGCACTCCCATGGGATGCTCCATCTGCTCCACCATTTATGAGCCACACCTGGTACCTTAAGGTATATAGAAAAAAAATATAAAGCTGGGTCTATGGCTGAATCATTGAATCTCTCCAAATCAATTTGGAACCTTCCAATACAATTAGGAGAGATTAATGGGTCTCCTGATTGGATTCGGATTTGGAGATTTGGTCGCTGAATCGGGCGGAATCTTCTTCGAATTGAATCAGTGACCGAAGCTTCACACAGCACTACTGGGCACTATACAATGAATCTTCTTATTTGGGTTATGGCAATACAATATCACTTTTTCTACACTAGAGAGTTGTACTGCTTTAACTACACTGATATAGTCAGAGCAAGCCCTCTAGTGTGGATGCAGCTATATCAGTCTCAAGTGTTTTATACCAATATATTTTCATATCAGTATAACTATAATACTAGGGGGAAAAAATAAGTCACTTCCTTTAACATAGGGCTGTCTAACATTTGGGCAGCTTGGGGAGGGGGTGGACACACACATGCTGAATGGTCTGTATACAAGGTGCAGACCCTGGACCCAGGGGTAGAGGCAGGAAGTAGAAGCCACAGGAGGGAGGGGGAGCCCAAAGAATCTGGCTGCTGCAGCAGGGGAAATAGCATGGAGGATGGTCAGCAGGAGCTGGAAAGCTTTATGTTAACCCTTCAGGAGCCACATGTAGCCCGTGGACCTTCAGTTGGACAGCCTTGCCTTAACAGTTCAAAAAATATGTGTATACCAGCACGGTGTCATGCTACTTAAACTGTAGCTTGCTAAAGTTTGTCCCTACTTATGTGGCTTGCAAAATGCAATCAATTTTGCTAGCTCCATTTTCCTCCAGTCTCTTGATGGAAATAAATATGCTGCTACTATTTTTTTCCTCTTACAGGCTCCAGTTCATCAAAATACATAAGTGTGTTTTTCCCCACTGTATACTAGTCATAAGTGCTGTCTTAGGGTGAGACAAGCAGGAGGTTACTGCTACCATCTGGGACACACAAGCCCAAGAGGAACAGACTCCACCCCCAGTGTGTTTAGATCCCTGAATGGTAGCCACCTTCCACTGATGAACAACTCAGCTATGCAAGTCTTTTCATGATTTCCACAAGATAATGTTTTCACTCTGCCTGTCCTTTCTGATCTGGTGTTGTACTAGCTGGCTACATAGTCCAAGCAGGCAGCACAGAGAAGCATGTAAACTTAACCTGAAGATCCTTATAATTATTAAGGAAGAGAGTAGCAAATGGTGCTAATAAAAACTGGCAATCTTCAGGCAATTGCTTGTCTGTGCTGATCCCAGCAAATGCTTGAGTGGGATCATTAATGCCCTAACTACCATGAGGAGATACTCCTTTTAGCTTAGTGGGGTAGTCAGCTGCTAATTCAGTACAGGTTGCAGAACAATCCTCCCCAGTTAGCCCCCACTCATGTCCAGATGGATCTCATGATGACTTCCTATTGATTGGAGAGAATCTCACGTTGGCTTCCTAGTTTTGTGGAACAGACACCCCCTAGATCTTCTAAATGGCACTGCTCCATATTGCAACAAGAGTTGAGTGGCAGGGGAGAGGTGTACTGCTTTGATAAATCCATAGCAGGAAACTAAACAAATAGGAGTCCAGGGAAGATTCTACCCAGATGCTCATCAGTCAAGCAGGGAGAGAGACCACATCACTCTCAAACAATACTGTTTTCTGTATTCTAACAGAAAGTTCTTGGTTCAGTGTTAGGAAACATTTTCTGTAGTATTTTATGATTATTGCATGACAATTGGGAGGCCAGGAACTCAGCAGGCATGAGACACAACTTCAAAAAGGATTTTAAAAAAGACTAACCATCTTTTCCTCACTATTAGGTAGATGGTTTGATTTTGTTTTGCCTGCAGTTATTGTAGTGTTGCTTTGCAAATCCTAGCCCCAAGAAGAACAGGCAATCTTGTGTTGGTTTTGTGTTATTTTTTATTTATTTATTAATTAATATTTTTATAGAAGCAGTCTCCAAAGACCACATGATCAGAATCAAAGCTTGTTGTCTTAGAGGTTTCACAAACACCTACAAAGAAACTGGCTCTGCCCAGAAGAAATTAAAATCTATAAAGAAAAGTGACACATGAAGAAAGATGGGGGAGATGGATACAGTTAAACTTATGCAGCTTGTGAAATCTTTTGTTGTATTAATGTCAGAATCAACTACCTGTATCGCCCCCACAACTTTGCCATCCTTAATCAGCATTATCTGTATTGCTCTTTCTCCACAATGCTCTAGTGAATTAATTTCTGACATTGCTGTGTTAGCCAAGACATGAGCAAGCTAAAAGAAAAAGTAACTTATAAGCAGAGCTATGCAACTTCACTTTTCACTGTCTGCAGAGCACATCTGAGAGATGTACAAAGTCCTCAATTACACACAAAAGTTGGAGAAGCTTACCTTTGCCCAGAGCTGAAGTAGTACAATTCCCCCCACCTGTATACATGGTTATCACCATCTACATTATTTCTGGGCAAGTAGGAACCACACTAGAGGTTGTATTAATATAAATATATTTGTAAAAATATTGCATCCCATTTGACATAGACAGACTTGTACAAAAATGGGGGCAGGTCAGGTCTTCAATGAAAATTATTAAATCCTTTACTTAAATGTAGATGGCAGCTTCCAAACTGGAATCAAATTATTCTTTAATTCCTGAACCTAAGGAATGCCAAACACCCACAGCTCTGTGGGTCATGCAGCACTTCAGCATCTATCAAAGCCAGATCCTAAGTAATTAATTAATTGCCATCTGTGGCACGGACAATGCCACAAATAGTTACAGCGAGTCCAGGGAGAGCTGGGAATGTCATGGACTCATTTTATGGCAGTGTGCCAGTGCCAATTCACTGGCCAGTGCATAAAAACCCTGGTGGACCAGGAAGAGTGGGGACTGGAAGTGAGTCCTCTGGTGGGCCCAGAGCAGCCCAGAGCTGATCACAGCCCCACTGAGGGAAAGTGGTGGCACCCCCAGGAGGGGGTAGACAAAAATAAGCTGAGCCCAGGAGGGCCTAGTTACTTACCAGAAACTGAGCTGTGGATTCCAGATGTAGCTGGACAGGACTGGGACCTGTCCAGTAAACCAAGCACTAAACCTAAGGAGAAAGAGAGTTGGACCTGTGGACTGTGGCAGATGCAAGCCAGAGAGAGAGAAGAGCACACCAGGATGCAAGGTAAAAAAAACCACAGGCCAGTTACAATATGGCCTAAATCCAGACGGCACACCATCTGAACCAGACTTTTCTAACTTAAAAGGACAAAACAACACCTGTACTGTAGCCAGCCCTAGTGGTGGTCAGAAATTAACATCAGTGGTTGGTGTAAGGTGGAATGTAGGGGAGACGGAGTCCTAAAATGGGAAACCAGACAGGAAGATTGCAGTAGGGAACCAGGAAAGGCAGGACATACAACCATACTCCCCATAACAAGCACATTCCTACAAGACGTGTGTCACGGTGGGGTCCTGCAGAAGGGCCGTGATCTCCGCAAGGCCCCCTTCCCGTGCCAAGTTGGCCCAAGGGCACCCTCAGATTCTCGTCCACCACGTCTTTGGTGTTCTAATATATTAGGGAGGCTACCTTACGTCTCCTTGAACACGGTTACTTCTGGCCCCATGAACTCCCAGACTCTTCGTGGGTCCTGCTCTACAATGGGTGCTTCAGGGGCACCCTAGCCATAGGGACTACGCGTGGCTCCAACGACCGCTTTCCCCATGCCCCAAGCCTCGCAGCTGGAATAGACATTGTTCGGTCTCTCTCTGTCTCTACTCCCTCTCTGGCACTCGGGCTCTTGACAGTCGTGTCTCACTCTCCGCACCCGCACTGGGGCTTCTCAGCAATGCCCCCTTCTTTGGGGCTTCTTAACTGCCCCTCTCGGGGGCTGGGGTCTATGTACCCCAAATGCTGTGCCCTCACTGGCACTTGGGTCCCCACACCACTGTGAGCCCCCTATGAGGCCTCCTCCAACCCCTAATAGCCTCACCCAAACCACCGGTGTAACACACAGTAACAGAAACACAAGCCCTAGGCTATAACCTAAACAGAAGCCACCCGGCTATAATCACGCTCGGCCTACTGGGGTTCTTCATCCCACAGCCATGTCATGTGATGTGATGTGATGTGATGTGATGTGATGCTCCTATATCAGGCTTCTCCTCTCTTCTGCAGCAGAGCGCTCCTTCCTCCTGGGCTGCTGGCAGGAAACTGCCTCTGGCCTCAGCCCCTAGGGTTTATAAGGGCCAGGCCCTGCCCCTTACAGTCAGCTGACCGCTGACAGTTGTGATTGCTTGTTAGCTCGGTTGCCCTGGCAACCAACAGCTGGGCTCCTTATTCACTCACTGCTAGGGCTCTTCCCTCGCATTTTCTCCTCTTTAGGAACAGGGCACCTCAGTGCTCTGCGACAACGTGGCAGGTGAGAACCCTGGGGACCATCCAAGCCATCTAACCTAGCAGCAAGCTGTCAACCACTAAGGGGATGGTGGGGTCTGAAAAACCCATAAGAACCAGATGCACTTGTGAGTGTCATGGGAGGTCACACTATCCAATGAAGAATCCAAAGAAATCAACATTACACTAAAACTGTAAGTTGTCTTTCATGTGCATGTTGAACACAAATGACTGAGATCAAAAAATGAAAGGGGGGCAGGGGTTGGGAATGTGCTCTAATACTGAAACTCAGAAAGATTAGAAAAGGAAATGTCCATTACCATGTTTTTAATCACTGGAAAATTTATGAATGACAAAGTTATAATGGTAAATGGGATCTCCATTTGTGAAGAAAAGTTAGTTTAAAACTGTTGGAGAGAAAAAGCTGCCCCTCTTATTTTATGGTGCTGAATGAGAAGCCATAAGTTTTCTCCATTTTGGTAAAAATATAAGGGCAGTTTTAAAGCCCTAAAGTTTCCAGTACTAATACTTTTAAATAATAGTAATCTGCAAAGCAACAGACACTCCTAAGATCCTTTTTGTACTCTAGATGATCCAGTTTTAATGATGGACCCTTTAAATTGGAACCATTTATTAATCATTGAGCCATCATATTGCAATACTGTGCCAATGGGAATTCTCCTTTTCTTACAGGTTTATAGTCATGAAACTGAACAGATCTTCCAGTATATAGCTTGAATTTAATGGAAGCTTCTTGATTTTGAATATGCAAAGTTAATTATTATATTACTTCAGCCTAACATTTAAGAAGTAGTATTTGTATTAAGCTGTAGTTCCACCACTTGATTCATGTTAATACTAAAAATGTATGTTTCTTTTAATTTTGGAAATTATATTAGAGGTGCACAGTAATGAAACGGAAGTAGAGAGCAAATATCATTTCTTAAATAAAAACAAAATATGTCCTAATTTAATTTAATGGCTAGAGCTTTACACTGACTTAACATTCAATTTCAAGGTAATTACAAGGTTTCTTTCCTTATTTTCAAAGGTGCTCTATGGCTCCAGGTATACCGCCCCCCCCCGATGTTTAAACAATTGTTTAAAGTTCTGGAAGAAAAAACAGCTAAGAACTCCATTCCTCAGCCACAATAAAACCTTACAGAAAAGGAAAAACAGCTCTCTTACACATTTGGTTCAACAGTATGGAATGAACTTAGGAACATAATAGATTATAAGGACCAGCACACACGTTGCCATCTTCTGCTCCAAGAGTAATACTGAACTTCCTTCTCTATCATAATTACATAGTGGTGCTTACATTTAAAACAAAACCTTAACTGTAGAAACTCTCTTTCTCTCTCAATCACCTGTTGCAGCTGTTTGTTGGGACTGCAAAACACTCAGATACTGAGCCATGAAGGCAGGATAAGATCCTCTCTAGAATAGAATAGAATAGAATAGAATAGAAAATACCCTTGAGGCCTGTGATGGACTGTCTATGGTGGTTGGGGATCTGTGACCAGGGTGGGACCAGGGGAAACCAAAGATACAGGATTGGATATGTATGCATGCTATCATAGAATTATAGAACAGCAGGGCTAAAAAATACCTCCAAAGGCTATCTACTGCAACCCTCTGCATGGGGAAGGACCACCCCTATCCAAACCATCCCATATAATTCCATCGTCTGACCTATTAGTAACCCGTCCCATACAAGTTCATTGTCTGACCTACACAATCAACCCTGACAGAGCACAAGATGACACCCCAGCCTGCCACAGGTAAAGCAGAAGGTCCAAAGCAGTCAACATTCTGCAGCAGCAAAGGTTGTTAAAATACCTATATATATAGTCCCACTTACCATTAATGCCAAGAGATGACGAATATAAAAACTGCACCTATAAGGTGCATTCAGTTTTTAAGGTGGATTTTTCATGCTTTACAACTTTTTCTACTCCTTTAAGAACAAAGTTCACAGAGTTAATTCTTTGTCTTCCTGGTCCTTCCTTAAAACTCTTCTTTGCTGTGATGAGTAAAACAAATTGTTGTGACTGCTACCGACTGTGATGACCAATATTATCTCACTGCTTCCTTGTGGTCCCATCAGACTGTCTTCATTCACCTGTTGTCTATAGCTAGATAAGATTTTGGGGGGCAGGGACAGTCTTTCCTGTGTGTTTTACAGCAGCCCATGGATCACAACCCAAAAGTTTCTCAACCCGTGGGTTGTGACCCAAAAGTGGGTCACAAGAATATATGAAAGGGTCATGAACAACTTTAAAAGATGGATTCTCCTTTAAAGGAATAAAATGTGGGAAACTGTGGGTCTTCCCTTGCAGGCTGGTGGAATTCTAGCCTGCAAGGGGCTGCTTGGGACCCCCCATGTCCCACACACCCACCCCTTGCCCCACACATTGAGGGGTTGGGGTCGTGGGGCAGCAGGTCAGAAGTGAGGGGCACTGGCCTGGGACTGGCCATCAATGTTTACAAATGGATCCTGGTACAAAGAAGGTGTTTTATAGCACCATTTTATAGCACTCCCAACAGAAGCATAGCAGGGCAGGACCATGCCTGGGGCAGCTGCCTGGGGCAGTGCCAGCTCCTGCCATGCCATTTGCAGTGTTATGGTCAGCTGACACTTCACCAGTGGCTGCCTTTGTGCTCCCCCTAACACAGGTGGCACACAGGGCTGCTGTCCCAGTCATCCCCTCTCATTTACACTACTAACCTCCCACAATGAGGTCTGGTGTGTGTCAAGGGTTCCTAGACTCCTAACATAATGCAAACAATCAGGTATGACAACAATAACAAGGTGTTTGACCCTTTTTTGGTCTAGGACTAAAGCTAAGCACACAAGTGTTTTGCAGTTCACAAAACTAGTATTTGTAGATGAAACAAGAGGTGTGTGTGCTTGACAATTTAAAGAGAGCTAAATGCATTTGCACTGTTTTTATATTGATATTTGATACTGGTGTTTGCACGCCTCAGTGGGGTATTGCACACTAATTCTAGCCGCTGTAGGAAATTTAGCAGCATAATGCATCTTAAATGACTTGGGTCACAGCAAACTAAAACTCTGTCAAGGAGTTTTAGTTTTCTGCCCCAACAGCTGGGGAGCAAAGCACTGGACTTTGTGTAGCTCCAGAGCTCTGCAGGAAGCCCTGCAGGCAGCCTGGCAGCAGCCCAGGAAAGCAGGGTCTGCGCAAGGGAAGTGGTGAGCCTAATCTCCCCCACTCTCCCGGAGCCTGCCTGCTCTATGGGGGGGCCCGTTGCTTCCCTGTGTGGCCGTGGTGCCCCCTGGGACTGCCCAAGCCCAGTGTCTTTGGGCAGGTGCTGCAATGGAGGGAACCACCAGCCCCCCACCCCTGCAGCCCAAGAACCACTCTGCCCTCTGACAGCTCGCCCTTCCCTTCTATCCAGAGAGGCAAGTCAGTTAGTGGGGTGTGTGCATGACATGGGGGTTTAATAAGCCCTAAATTGAAGCGGTGTTTTTTAAAACCCACCACTTCAATTTAGGACACCTGTTTCATCTACACATGCCCTATCTACTACACTTAAATGTAATCAAGTAGATTCTGATTTTCTTTGATTTTTGGTTAAATGTGATAATCCTGAAAGTAAAGGAACCAAAGGCACTAGAATACATTTTGTCAAGCAGGGTGCTGTGGCATCATGGGGTGCCTTGGGATCCTTTCAAGGGTGTCATGGGGTGCCATGCAATGTTAGTACTTTTAGGTGTGCAAGCATGGTTCACAAATAAACACAGCAATTTCAAATAGGAATCTGTAGTATTAACAACATGCTACCCTACTGTGGTCTTTGTTAGTTCTTTGCAACTTAGAAATTGCTCTATTATTTTTCTGTAGTAAAAAATAAGTGAAAACTAAGAACTGCATTTTCTAAGGGGTGCTTTAAGTCTATTGAGGGGTACCTCAAGTCTAAAAAGGTTGAGAACTACCACACTATAGTATAAAGTAGCTCTCAGAACTGGTTAATATTCTCACCAGTTGCAACACCTCTTCTATCCAGGCCATAGCCTCATTTATCACTTTTAAGCTGTCAGTTCTCTGGGGCAGAAGCTATCATTTCCTATAAGGAAAGCACAGTGGAGTTGTGACTAATATCTCTTGGTACAACCACAATATAAACAATAAGTAAATAATACTAATATTAAGTGACTTATACAGAATAATATTGTGACCTTTAAGTTGGACAAGCAGACATTAGGAACTAATTTGAAACAACCAGGCTTATTTCAGGTGTGATCGAAACTAACTGCAAATTCATCTTTCCCTGAGGTGCAAAGCTAGTTCATTAACCCACTGCACTGTGTAGAACCTGCTGTTTTATCTTTTATTGATGTCTCACGTTAGTGATTTCTTGCACAGAACCTGTGATTTCATGCAAGAAGCAGGTTAATGTCCTTGGAGTTGGAACTAGGGAGAATGTCACTGCAATTTAAGCAACAGTGATCAAAAGTAACTATCTCATATCAACAGGACTCAGCTCTAGCCCTTTGTATTAATCCAAAATAAGTAAAGAACATCGTGTTCAAAGAAACTATTTTGTACAAGACTTGACTTTTAAATTGCATGAATTTGTGTGCAAAAATATTCTTTTTGATCTGAGTTCAGTGGATTCCCCACATATCTAAAAAGAGTTAGCAAGATAGGTAATACATTTAATTAGAATATAAAATAACAGCACTGGGCAACAGCAGCTTCAAACCTTGTTATCTAAAGAAGAAATCATTTAAAGAAATTATCAGTAGTATTTTAAAAGCATACGAATTGGTGGATATATTCAGGAAGGGATGCTGTTTTCCCTAGATCACACTGCTGCTGGGACTGGACTGCTATTGACTGAAATGAGCACTTGCAGCTAGGTATCACAAGTCAGTTTACTCTATGGGTGCCTATACACATGACCATTTGAAGTGTTCTAAAGCCATCACTTAATTAGAATGCTTTAAAAATGGCATGTCACCTTAATTAAACCTTGTTGTATGCATTTTAAATGTAAGGTGAACTGTAGTAGTGCGTCTCAGCCTACTTAGTTCACCTTTATTGCATGTATATTTAACTGGGGCTTTTCAAAGTGGTAATGACTAATTCTACCACCAGGTATAGTTAGGTCTGGAGCCTGGTATCACCCTCAGGCTGCATTGTGCAGCGTCCCCTGCCTCCTACTCTACAGAACTACAGCAAGGCACAAAACTCGCACCAAGCCATGGAATGTCCATTAATTTTTAAGGTGCTGTACTTAAAGTAAAGCACAAAAGTTACAGCACCTTTGGAAATGCCTGCCCTGTATGTGTATAGGCACCCTATGTTTTTTCCTCCCTTGGATTAGGTATTAGGCTAAGTAATGGTTTAATCACACTCTCCCCATTGGATTACTTCAGCAAAACTGCTCATCTCGTGAGTGTCAACAGGAGTCAGTCTATATGAATTTGATCAAGCAAAGTTCAGATTTTTTGTTCTGCTGAACAAATGTGAAATATGTAAAAGACATTTGTTTTGTTAAAGTTAAATTCTACCAAATTGAAATGTTGTCCAAATAGCTGTATTTCTGATCAAGGACTGAACATCACTGCACTTACTGGCTAAGTGCATAGTGTCCTTTTCTAATGGTCAGTCTATACAAAAGATAATCTACTCGTGACAGAGGGCACGTTCAGGGCTGGGTCTCAGGTTGGCCTATCCACCTGTCTAAATAGGGCAGGCCACCCAGTCTCTCCTGCCATGACTTGCTGTTTCTTAACCTGGAAAAAAATGCAGGAGGATGCCTATTTTAATGTCCCGGTGCCAAGGGGTGCTGTCCACAGCTCTGTACCATCCCTACACCATGGCCCATGCCTTGCAGACGGCATCCAAAATGAATTATTAACCTTTGATCCAAACTCAGCTTCACCACATCTGAAAACTTACTGGGTCCTCAGCCTCTGGTTCAACTGTGGCCTCTGGCATCCATAGACTTATCTTCACCTAACTTCCCCCTTCCTGAGGCTTCAATTTATGCCCTTCTACTAGTGCCTACCACACATTCCCTCTCACTAGAGCTCTCGCTCATGTCATTGCACTTACAGGGGTTGGACAATGTGCTGCCCTTCAGACCACCTCTCCAGCACTATTCAACACCCTCCCCTCCCCCCCGGTGCAGCCCTTCAGGTCACCCCAGCAACCCTACTCTATACCATGCTTATGTATAGCCCTTCAGGTCACAATGGCACACCCTACTCTGTGTGGGCCCAACATACACTACTGCCCCACTCTGGGGTCATTCTTCTTCCCTCTCTCTCTGGGCCCCCTCACTGGGGCCTCCAGGGTCTTACCCCCCTGTGGGGCTCATGTGTGTGCAGACGTGCCTGACCCTCATGCCTGTCCCTAAGTCTGGGTAACCCACCAGGATCTGGGGGTTGGGGTTTTAAGGCACCTCCTCCCTGCCTTTCACCTGGGAGGCAACTGGCCTGGCATTTCTGGGGAGCTCCCCTGTCATGGGTAGCCCCACCAGGCCATCCTTCCCCAGCAGAGTGCAGTTTTCAGTCATACCCAGGTCATACCCAGGACCAGGAGCCTTCTGCCATCCCCATAGCTCCTACCCTTAGCTCCAAGGATGTTCTGAGCTGCAGCTCAGCTGGGTGTTGCTCTTTTGGCTTCCAGCAGCAGACTGTTGCCTCTGCGCTGTGGGTCTAGAACAGGGGTGGATAAAATATGGCCTGTGGACCAGATCCAGGCCATCAAGCCATTATATCTGGCCTGTGAGGCCCCTACAAATTTAGAAAATTAATATTTATATGCTCCTGGCTTCCTGTCAAAGATGACAGGATCCAGGGGCAGTACCAGGGGGAGCCACTGGCAGGATCAAGTGGCTGCAGCAGCAAGTCCAGTCTGGCCCTGTTCCCCCTTCAGCCTGAGCCCCAGCCAGAAGCCTCTGCCTAGCAGGGCGGTTCCTGTATCCCTGTGCCAAGGGAAATACAAATAAGGGGGTTGGGGGGCAGAGGAAGACTGGGCAATTGCCTCAGTCCTCTGGGCCAACCAGGCTGGTTTCTGCATTCCTGGTACTGCAGCTGGGAACCACATGGTGCCAGAGCATGGCGGGTTGGGGAGGGGAGCAGGAAAATGGCTGTGGCAGATAGGGGGAAGAGGCAGTGAGCGAGTGCTCA